CCCTACACTGATATAAATCAGGTCACAAACCTGAGTTCTTAGCCCCAGAGGAGAAGACAAAGATCAGAACTGCTGGTGCTTCCTGCGGACCTCATGCAAATCACTGAATGACGGCATACCCTGCACTGTTTATCGCACGAATGAGGCATATTAAAATTTTCTAGAGAAACCTGACTGGTGTGATGGGCATGTGTATTTCCCATTTATTCAATGAAATATATTTCTTTAAGTGAAGTATTTTCACAAAAATCTCAGATTCTCAAAGTTATCTCATGGTAACTCTGCGCTGGGATATAGAGTTGATGGGAGCCTCCCAGGTAGGAAGAGATGGGCCGGGACTCCTGGCTTCCCTGGGGGATGGCTGAGGGCAGCTTTGAGCCTCAGGTCGCTGTACACTCATAACCTGGAGATGAGGTAATGCTCTCCCTTTTTTGAGTTTCTTTTCCTAGCTCTGGTGATTCTCTGGCAACAGGAATTACTGATTCCTCTGTCTTATGCTGGGCCTTTGGGAGACCCAAAGCTCCCTTGAGTCAAATGGGAGGGTCAACTGGAGATTGCGTGGCAAGGGTACAAGTTTGGGCCTGACAAATGAGAGCTTTTGGAACCACCCTGGAGGAGGTAGGTGCTGAGAGTGTTTTCAAGCACCTTCTGGGGAGCATAGCTTGGCATTTCCAGCAAACCAGGCTCCAACACGGGGGGCAGGGTGAAGCGATGGATTCAAGTCAGAATTGTCATAGCTTGACGGCACCTGGGCGTGCTTCTCTCCTGCTTAAAAGTTCTAGTGGATGCTCATTCCTCCCCTGACCTCATTTCCTACCCTCTCTTCCAAATCTTTTTCACATGGTTCTAGCTACATTGGTTTTCTTGCAGATCTAGGAATTATTCAGCCCATTCCCAGCTCAGGGCCTTAGAATGTGCCAATCCCTCTGTTTGGAATGCTCCTCCCCCAAATATCAGCGTGGCTATTCTTCCCTCATTCGAGTGGCTTCTCAAACACCACCTCCTCAGGCAGTATCTCGCTGTCTGTCTCTTCCTTTACTCTATTTTCTTCCTAGTGCTCTCACCACCTGACACCACCACATAGTGGATTATTTATGATCTTTCTCTTCTCTACTAGAATGTAAGCCCTAGGAGAGTAGGAATTTTGTTTGCTTTTTTTCCTCCACTGTATCGCTAATAGCCAGAACATTGTTAGCGCATAGTAGATGCTCAGTGAATATTTGTGGGTCAGCTACTCAAGGGTAAGGGACTGGCTCATCAGCATGGTACGCAAGGTCAAACAGAATGTTGCCTAAGTCTGCATTTCAGCACCGTTTCCTATCCCTTCTTCACGTAAGCAGCCCTTGCTCCAGTCACACCAAACTGCAGTTTCCATGAATGCATCGTACTCTGTGATGCTCCTCTGCCTTTACACAAGCTGCTTCCTCTGCTTGGAACACGCTCCTCCCTTCTCTGCCTGGCAAATACCTACTAATTCTGTAACTCTATACAGTACTGCTCAGATACCTGTTTCTCTGGTGCTTGTCCCAGGTGCCCTGTTTTAACCACAGAAGCCTGCCAGGCATTCTGGGCTGGCCTGTGGCCTCATGAGAACAGAGAGCTGTTATTCTTGGCCGTGGCTTTGCTGAGACAACTACCCTGCTGAGGTCCCGAGGCTGCCTTCCAGCAATAATATGGGGACTAGGAGATGACATACTGCTGGATGTGACTTTACACACCATGGCCGTGAGCACTGTGTGTATAAACTCAGCCCCCGAGTGGCTGACCTCCTGGCAGGGAGGATGCGGAGACAGTGACTCATGTGGTCCGGTTGTTCTCTGTCATCTGGAAAGCAGCACTGTCTAGGGTAGCCCCCCGCAGGCACTTTCCTGTCTTGTTTCATCAGGGCATGTACAGAGCAGGGCTCTGCTGGCTTAGCTTCACACGTGCCATCTTTTTCTCTGTGTCCCGTGTTGCAAGCGCACGTGTGCATCAAATGGGAGAAATGGAGAGATTATGGGCTTTGGGCTCAGATGAGTGTTTTAAGTCCTAATTCTGCTGGACTCCCCCCACGTGGCCACAGTCAGATGACTTAATCTGCTTGAGCCTCATTTCCCTACCCATAGGATGGAGGTGATGATCCCACCTCACAAATGAAATAACATGTGTGCAAGCATTTGATACACTCGAAACCTTTGTGCAAATGCCTGTTACAATGATTATTAAAGGTCAGGAACTGTGAATTCAGGATTTCTCCATTCCATATCCTTACACAGTGTTTGGCATGGAGCTGATGATAAATGGATAGTGTGCTTGTCATTGCCTGCAGTGTCCCTTGTGGCTTTTGAGATCTTTCTGGCCTGTTTTTTTGTTATCAGGAAGGCAGCTCTGCTTATTGGCTTCTCTTCCTCCGTTCAGAGCCCAGCTCCTCACCTCCACACCTTCCTCAGCCCTCTGCAGTCTGGGGTCCCCATCCTCCCTCAGGACCACTCCAGCCAAGAGCCATCAGCACCTTGCTGGGTACCAGATGCTTTTCAGGTCCCAGCTATGTCCCTTCTGCTGCAGTTGACACTGGGATTCCTCTCTTCTTCTAGAAACTTTCTCTCTTCATTTTTCCGTCTTTTCTCACTTTCCACTTTTTCGCTTTGCCTGAAACTTTCTAGCTGTTTTTCTCCTTCCTTCCCTCCCCTCCCTTTGCATACTATCAATTTGCAAGGTTTCCTGGGGTTTTGACCTGGACTTCTTTCTCCTCTCAGTCAGTTCACAAGCCCTGGGCAAACCCACTGTCCCCCGGGGTTGTACATCACCTCTCCATGGTGGTTCTCAAGGTTGCCTCTCCCCAGGTCTCCAGTCCCAGCCCAACCATCCTCTGCTCCTTCAGGGGGAATGTGGAGCAGAGCTCAGCCTCTGCCCTCCCCCTGAGGTCCCTGCCCCAGGGAACGCCTTCACCATCTCCCCAGCTGCTCAGGCAAGAATGCCAGAGCCACCCTGACTTCTCCTTGTGCCCCCTTACCTCCATCACTCTTCAGATCCTGCCAACTGCACCTTTCAAATGCACCTTCCTCTCTCCAACCTCATGGCCACTGCCTTAGCTGGTCTTAGAGCCAGGCATGAGTGAAGGCATAGAGTAGACACTAAAGTGGACTGAACAAAGAAAAGGAAAAAGGGGGAAAAAGGAAAAGGAAAGAAAGAAGAGAAAAGGGGATAGCTCATTGGTTTTTACTTTAACCAACTGCATGGACTGGTTTGATCCTGTTTATTTTATCCCCATTTCACTGTGACTATACAAGTGTAAGCATCTTTTTAGGAAATCCTGGGAGGTTGTGTTGGAAAATTGGAGTGAGGGTTGGACAGCTGGCTGGTATTGAGGGATGCTATGCAGGCAGGGTGTCTGGTCCCTGCCTGAGCCAGGCTCCACTCTGCTTTCCCCAGGACCAGGGAATGTCCTCTCTGGGTCACTCTCTTTCAGTGAACATTCTAAGATTCTGCAAATAGGAAGCCTAAATTCCCTCAAGCTGCTCAACACCTTTCAATAGTCACTGAATTTGCTCATCTATGTCTTGAGAGAAGTTGGGTGCTGATGGACCTATACATTCTACAGATGAGGAAAGTGAAGCTAAGGGGAGTTTAATGATTTGCTTGGCGGTGGAACTGAGAAATGAAAACCTGTCCTGCAGAAATAAGCAAGGTAGGTAAGAGGCAGGACACAGGCGCTTGGCTGGATCCAGGGAGGAGGTGGGGGAACTGGTAATCTGGGCCAGGAAAGAGGACAGATTGCATTTTACTGGCTGCAGGTATGTGCAGGGTTCTCTATGTATCTTATCGCATTTAATGCTCCCCACCTCCTGGTAAGATGGTGTGATTCTCCTTTTACTGAAGCTCAGGGAGGACACACAGCTGGTCAGGACAGATTCATGATTTGAGCAGGGTCTGTTAGACAACTAGGTCTGTACTGCCTCTTAGGTAGGGCTCTGAGCTGAGAAACAGACAACCTTTGCTGAGGCATTGCTGATTTAGAGGTTCTCTTGGGCAGGAAGAGAAGGCCCAGCTCTGCTAGGATGGGAGGGGCAGGTGGCCACTGGATGAAACTTGAGACATCGCTGCGTCTACTACTGTGTGGGGAGGAGAAACAGGAAGGGAGGTGGTCACATTTTTCTGAGGGTTCTTTATCCTTCATACATTCATCCTTCCATTTGCTGAGTTCAGTGCCTGGCACTGGGGTCTCACATCAACCCATGATCTTTTCCTAAGGGACCCTGGATGCCTGGGAAAGGAGGAGCCAGATGAAACTAAAGGTGGAAAGGAAGGAAAAACACTCAATGTCTACCTTGGGGGCAACGGATTACAACTTGTGGGCTAAATCCAGCAGGTTGCCTGTTTTTATAAATAAAGTTTTATTGGAACACAGTTCCGCCCACTTGTTTACATATTGTCAATGGCTGCTTTTTGCCCTAGGACGGCAGAGTTGAGTAGTTGAAACAAGAGACCATATGGCCTGCAAAGCTGGAAATAGTCACTCTCTGGCCTTTTACAGAAAAAACCTGCCAACCCCATAATCTAGCCGAGGGAAGCCTTGATGGGAGCTACACAATTTATTTTTCGAGATGACCGTCTTGAAAACTGATGACCTGACAAATGCTCTGCTGTTGTGCTTTTCTTAATGCGTATCTTTCATAACAACCACATACTAAGCTCTAGGCGAAGCTGGCACTTTGCTAGGTAGGTAATTTAGAGGCCACAGTGAATGCGACTTGGACTGTATTCTTAAGGAGCTCACAGCTAATGGGGGAGGCAGGCACATAAAAGAGATGTTTGCAGTATGAGGTGCCAGTGTGGAGGGTGTTTATGTATCACATGTTGTGGGGTACAGAGGAGGAGCAGCCGGCCATGCTCTGGGGGACCTAGGAGTGTGGCCCCATGAGGACATGAATTGCACTGTGACTTGAAGGTTGTTTAGGGGCATCATTCACCTGGAGGAGGTAAGGTAGTTAAACCTCATTCTTACCAAGAGTCCAGCTCCAAGAAAGCCGTGGAAAAACCAGACCAAGTCTGTGATCTTGGCAGGCTCCAGCACCTGTCCGCTGGGAAAGTACAGCAGGAGGTTGGCGATGATGGCGGCAATGGCCAAGGCCAAGAGCAGCAGGCCCGTGTACCTGGAGCCCATCTCAGAACACATGGTGAATCCTCCCTGGAAGGGAGAAAGAAACAACCAACACCAGGAAGCTGCCTGCCCCAGGCACTGCAGAGTCAGGAGAGGGCGCGTCAGCCTCAGAGCCCCAAGAGCAAGATGACGAGTTCAGCTCTACCACTGGTAAGCGGTGTGACCTGGGGAGCCAGCCACCTCAACGCTCTGAGCCTCAGTTTCCTCGGTGAAGCAGAGAAAACATTGACTTTACAGATGGTGGTGCATGGACTAAAGGAAGTAAAATCAACATGACAGCACCTGGCTCTAGCAGATGTTCAATAGGGTTTCTTTACAGGATTGGGGCAATCGAGGTGATGTTTAGGAACTTGCTGTTACCCTGTTCGGGTTCTTTCATCCACTCCCAGAGGAATTCCCCTAGTGATTATGAACTAGATCCTGATCCAAACCCTGTGGCTCCATCACTTAGCAGCTGTGTGACCCTGGGCAAGTTGTTTTACATCTCTCACCTCAGTTTCTTCATCTGCAAAATGGGACTGACAATAGCACTCACATTATGGAATTGTTGAGGGTATGAAAATATTTTCAAAATGTTCTCCTACAAGGCTGTCAGTGTGTGGTAGGTGGAGAAGAAAGAACTAAAGAGAATCTGAATCATCTTGGCCTCTCCTTTGATTTATGTGGATTTATGTCTTTGTCAATTGAGATTATTGAGCCTGGAGATTTCTGAGAAGCCAGGCTGGAGGCACATGGAAAGAAGGAAAGAGGGAAATGTTTTGCATCTTGGTTTTTTGTCTGCATAATGAAGCTTTTTTTTTTTTCTCCTGGGCATAAATGAGTTTGGAGTAAACTCAGTATCCTGTTTGCTGGGTGAAGGCTGCCTGAGCAGCGTGAGCCCTGGTGCTCTGCGCCGAGGTCCAGGGCTCCAGAATGTTCCTCTGAGACCCAGGGAAGGGTTCTTGTTTTGTGTTAGGTGGCGCTCTCCCAACAGCTCTTTGTGCCCATTCTTGACTCAGATTCACGCTGAGATTGTTAACTGACTCCTGAATAGCAGCTCCTTCACTACCCGGCTCCCAGACACAGAGGCCTGGTGCCACGAATGGCCCTTCCCACGGTGGGCGGTGGGTGGGGAGCAGAGGGACCTGGAACAATTTGCAGAGCCAGGGACCTCTTTTCAGGGACCAAATTGACAAATGTCCAGCCTTAGCTTTCTACTCCCCCAGAAGAGTCAAAGTTATTAATGCACAATGGGTTAGGCAGGGTGGTAATGCCTGGGGTCTTATTTCTATCTGATATCCAAGTTCAGGGCTACAGAAAGCTGATGCCTGAATGGGGTGCCGCCTCTGTTTGGATGAGGGAGGTTGAAACTGCTGACCTCACCCGCATTGTGATCACTGAGAGTAGCGGTAATGAAAATTTAACACTTACGGGGATCCGTAAGAAAAACAATAACACACAGCTACTGCCACTTGTCCAGACACACGGTATGCATCATTTCATTTAATCCTCAAACATCCCCACAAGGTAATAGCTCCCTAGCTCTGAGAGGAAACAAGCTTATAGAAGTTAAACAAGATCGCAGGGTCTCCCAGCCCGTAAATGTCAATGCCGATCCTCAAATGTAGGTCTGCTCGTGTCCACTTCTAGTTATTTCCAGTAGGGGCAGATGCTTAACAACTGGGAGCGCTGGGAATCCAGTGCTGTTGAGCATTCTTACACCCTGTAAAAGGATAAAAAGCCAACAGCCCCTGTTGCTCCTTGACACCTAGATGTCCCAGCTCTTCCAGTAACAAATACAGTAGTCCTCACCTTCCTGGAAAACTGCAGATCTTCTTAGGAGGGAAGGGAGTAGGGGTTGAGACTGTGGCCACATTTGGAAAGGGGAACCACGCAGCACCCAAGGTTGGTTGGCACCGTGAACTAAAAATGCCACCTGCCGTATCAGTAAACAAAGGATGTTGCAGCCATCAAGCCATCACATTATAGCCAGCCTGACGGTGAGCCCTGAGGGAACTGAGGACGGAGGCAGGATTTGCCCCCCACCTAGCCGTCAGCCACTGTAGCCACCCTTGAAGATGGGCCCTGAGGAGACTCAGGATGAGAAGCACAGGATACTGGCCCCAGATAGCTGAGGTGCATATTAAAGGAATGGTTTAAATGAGCCCAGACTTTGCATCTTCCCATACTTAGAAAAGCGCTAAATTCCTTAACTTGAGATGTCTGGTTTTCTTTCATTAACAGTAATCATTTGATGTTCTGACTACCTGGTCTTTGTTGCAAAAACTCCTCTCTATCCTGGCTCCCCCCTTACCTCTTCCGAGCGGTCCCTCAGAGTTATCTGAGATGCTGTTCCTGGGCTTAAGTCCTCAGTTTTGTCCGCTAAATAAAACGTAACTCTCAAGTTTAGGTTGTGCATTTTTTCAGCTGACAGCATTTAATTAAAACTGTGAGAAGCCAGTCATTCTCTTGGGGTGAGAATGTTAGAGTTGCTAAGGACTCGTGGAAATTTAGTCCCTTCCTTTTCTGGGCAGCATAGCCCCAGAGAGTTGAAATAACTTGTTCAAGGTTATATAGCTAGATAGTAGGAAATCACAGCAAAAATAGTCACATTCCTGTTCACAGGCATGCTCTCACTCGATCCTTTAATAGTTCAGTGACAGAAACATCATGATTATGCCTACTTTATTCATTTATTCATTTGCTGCTGGACATTCTGAGGCTCCGAGGAGCCCAGGAGCTTGTAACGGGGCAGCTCGTCTTCTGAGGTTGTCCGGTCCCCATAGCTTGTGGCCTCAACAGGTGGGACAATCACAAGCCCTTGAGTTCCTTGATCACAGACTTCACATCAAATAATCTGCCTCATGCTCCCTGTATCATCATATTCATACGTGTCAGACAATGACACCCTAAGTTTGGGTTTGTTCAGCATGGTTGCTGCACTGAGGTTTTAGGCCAGCTGTGCAGCTCCAGGCTGTGGGGACCGGCTTTCAACACCAATCCTGCCCAGTCTCAAGCAGAAACACACAGACATACCCGTCCACCCAGTACCTGGTCAGTGGGGGTTGGGCACAGGCCCAGTGGACAGCCTCCCCTGGGCAAGGCACCCCGGCCCGGCCAGGCCAGCAGCAGTGTTGCAGTTCCAGAGAATCTAGCTCAGCCGCTGGAAGTTTCTGGGTGAGCCCTGGATCCTTCCACTTTTCAGGAGGCTCAAAGTGAACACTTAATAGGTGTTGGGGAGCAATAGGTCCCAGGCACCAGGACAATTTATGCATCTAATCACAGCTGTCATCTTCTCTTCCCTGTGAGGAGGTCTCTTGTCTCTTTAGAGTCTGAAGGCCTTTCCAGGTCCTTCTGAGGCCCCTCAGCACGACAGCACGCTGAGCTCTGAGGGGCAGGGGGCTCCCCTCTTCCTGTCTGGACCCACGTCTCTTGCTCTCCCCCAGTCTCCGCAAAGTGGCTCAAATTCCCCCAGTAAGAGCCAGCACTTCCTCCCTTGCCAGACGGCCCCAGGGGAAGGGTTCAGCCACCCAGCCACAAAGGCCTGTGCACTTACTGTGCTCCGCCCCTCCCTCTGGGTCATTCCTGATAACCTCTGAAAAGTTTCCCTGGCGGATGTGTTTCCACCCAGCTGAGATGCAGGAGGGGAGGGGATGTGGGTGGGCAGGGAGGGCCCACCAGCCCTGCATGAACACGTGTGGGGAAGGTCCCAGTTACTGAGCGGGGAGGGTTGCAGCGGGGCCTCGCCACCTCTTTATCTTCCAGCTCCCCTGCTCCAGACCCTGAGCTGTCAGCTAATGGCATCTCACATAGATGTGCAGTGCGGCTCCCTGGCTGTGCTTTGGTCTTCAAGCCAGACCTGATGCCCCAGCCAGCCAAGGAAAGGAAATGGATTCTCAAGTGGGCCCCCTCCCGCTTCTCACCCATCCCTCCAGCCCCTGACGCTGTGAATTTGATGCTGCAAGAGATGGAGGAAGTGTACCGTGTGGGGCTCAGGGCCAGGAATCTGGTTACCCAGTTGCCCAGTGGGATGAGCCCCAAATGGCGCTGCTTGGCCTCCATCTCGGCTTTCCCAGTCGGTGAGCAGCATGGCTGCAGGAGAAAGGCCTCTTTGTCTTTTGTCTTTTGCTGCCACTCCTTCCTGCCCATGAGAGCACATTTCCCTTTGGTCATCTCCCAAGTTTTATTTTTCCTATACAGTGACACCCAAGGTGCTGTGAAACCTCTGAGAAAGAAGAACCAAGTGATTCTATGATCAGGTACCTGCCTCCCAAAGCCTAACTGTATCGTAATTGGTAACCCACCTTGGCAGCAAAGTGCTTTCCTATGCTGTGCCTAGACTGCTCTGTCAGCAGTCCCAGGGGGCTGTCAGGACGATATTATTTTTTCCTCATTATTCAAATGGAGAAACAGGATCAGAGAAGATGTGACCTGCCTCAGGTCAGGGAAACCAAGAGAGAATTCATGGTTCTCATTTTTGTACTCTTCCTATGGTACTGAGATTACCTTCTGATCTTGAGCTCTTCCACCAGAGTACATTCTGGGCACTCGGGCTCCGCCACACTGCTTGTCACCCGCAGAGTGTCCCTCGAGCCTGAAGGGAACTACTTTTTTTTTAACATCTTTATTAGAGTATAATTGCTTTACAATGGCATGTTAGTTTCTGCTTTATAACAAAGTGAATCAGTTATACATATACATATGTTCCCATATCTCTTCCCTCTTGCATCTCCCTCCTTCCCACCATCCCTATCCCACCCCTCTAGGTGGTCACAAACAGGTCAGTCCAGTAGAGGCGGCGTTTGGAAGATCTCCTATTCAAGGTTGCAAACCTCTGTACTATTTGATGCCTTTTCACAAGAGCACACTGTTCCTAAGGGTCAAAAATAATGCAAACATCCTCCAAAGCATAGCATTAACCTCATTCCTAGATGAATATGCTTCCAGGAGCAGACAAAGAGAGATGGAGAAATCTCACTTGCAGTTTGTGACAGACAGAGGTAACAAGATAAAAATTTCAACCAGGCCATTATAGT